AGTAAACTAGTTAGTTTACTTTTAGTTCCACCCTGACTAAATGTACGGTATAGGCAAGCTTGTATGCATTTGATGTGTGGTCGAAACTTTATATTGTATTAAGATTATACAATCGAAACGTTATATCCCAATATAATATGCGGCCGAATCATTATATGTCATTAACATTATATAATCAAAATGTTATATTACAGTAACGAGTTAAATTATATAATTCCATTTTTCTAGCACATTAGACCTTAGGTAATCACAAGCCTCATGGTGTTTATTTAAATTAATTAATCATTTACTACTCTGGCTGACTGCAAATGTGTGGTCATGGCTCGGTATACTCGGTATGTGGTTATCATATTTACGATATAACAATCTCAAAACAGATCTTGCGCATGATAGGATTTTATCTTCCAGTTATAATTGTAACTGATATTAGGCACTTCCTTACCGTAGTTTCTGTTTGTTTGTTTGTTTGTTTTTAACGCGACACTAATGCACTAATTTCCAAGTTGTGTTTCATAAGAACCGGATTTCCTCATGACTTTTAATAAAACATGGTGGATAGAAATGCATTAGCTTAAAAAAAAATTAAAAAACATGAAAACATTTAGAAGAAAAAAAAACGTTTTGCATACTAATACTGCCGGCATTTTAACCAGGATAATGTTTATATCGATACAGACACCTGCATATATTAAAGGAAATTATAATATCCTTGCCTATAAAACAATATTATTTATTCCCCGTTGGCATTTCCCCCGTGTTTTTTCTGTTTATTTGTTTCTGTGCTTGTTTGTAAGTATCTATATTCACGTAACCATTTACTTAAGAAACACACTTCTAAACCATATCATTATCTCAAATTTATAGTGCTTATAAAGCCGTAGAAATAAGGTTCATTTTTGCGTAAGTCGACAAAACTTTTTTATGTAGGATAAAAAAGGTAGATATGGATCTTTTTTTTTAATATAATATGCGATGATTTTGAAATTTGACGCAAGTAAAGCAAGCAGCTAGAAGCCGGTTATTGTTAGTAATTACACGGTTTGATAATGCATATAAATAAGAACAGTTTTAATTATATCAGCTGAGGCATGGTAATTATAAGAAAGATAATAAACGACGTTAAGGTTCGTAATAGTAATAGTAATGATAGTAATAATAGAAATGTTAAAGATAACAATAACAATACTAATAATGATGATACTCATGATAATCATGAGAATAATAAAAATGATAATGATGATCATAATAACAATATCGATGATAATAATAATGATAATGATAATGATAATTACGATAATGATAATAATAACAGCCTTGATAACAAAGAAGATAGTGATAATAACACGATTTCATAATGAAGAAAAATCATTGTAGTAGAGAATAATAATTATCATATGGCTAATAACTTTCTCAATTCTAGAGATTAATGATAGATATATCAAAGGTAATATCAGTAACAATTGCAATGGTAATGATGATAATATTTGTCGCTGAAAGGTATTTTTCCCTTCTACTACAAAAGCAATGAAGATTATTTTTGCTGACACACAGTCCATTAGGATTTTAATTGACACATTTTTGATACTCTGTGATGTCGATTTTGTTCAAATTGCGAATGTACTTTATATATGTGTATATGTATATGTATATATATATATATGTGTGTGTGTGTGTGTGTGTGTGTGTGTGTGTGTGTGTGTGTGTGTGTGTGTGTGTGTGTGTGTGTGTGTGTGCCCCCGGATGTTTTTGTGTTCTCCTATTGTTTGTTTGTTCTTCCCTAGCCCCACCGCATTTCATTTTCACCGCAATCACTGCTCTCTCTCTATTCCAGAACGGGGTATGCCTCCCACCCTCTCGCATCACTTGTAAAACCATTACTAATTAACCAAAAAAAAAGAAAAAAAAAAAAGATTAAACACGGCTCTCCATCACTGCCTAATTATTCCCCCTAATTACCTGCTTATCTCCCCGCCCCCTCCCCCCCGCCCCTGCTTAAATTTACGAATGTCTTGGATACCTTCACCTGCTCAGCGGAGTCGTCACGTCCCTTCTCCTCCTGAGAATTCCCTGCTGATCACTGAGGGTTGTCGCCGGCCGGGGTTGGGGGTCTGGGAGGGGGAGGGAGGAGGGGAGGGGAAGGGGAGGAGAAGAAAGGGAGGGGATGGGTGTAGGGAGGAGAGGGGAGGGGAGGGGGTTGAGGGGAAAGGGAGGAGAGGGGAAGGAGGATAAGGGGAAAGGAAGGGAGGAGAGAGGAGGGGGGTTGAGGGGAGGGGAAAGGAGGGGAGAGGGGTTGAGGGGAGGGGAAAGGAGGGGAGGGAAGGGGGGAGAAGGAAGGAGGGAGGAGGGGTGGGGAGGGAAGGGAAGAAAGGAAGGAAATGGGAGAAGAGGGGGAAGAGAAGGGGAGGAGAGAGGAAGAAGGGAGGAGGGGAGGCGAGGAGAGGGGAGGGAAAGGAGAAAAGGAGAGATAGGAAATACGGAGAGAGGAGAGGGGAGGGAACGGAAAAAAAGGAGAGATAGAAAATGGGGAGAAAGGAGAGAGGAGGGGAGGGGAAGGGCAGGAGAGGGGATGAGCGTGTGAGAAATGAGGGGAGAGAGAGGGGAGGTAGGTAATTGCAGGTAAGGTAGAAAGGGGGGGGGAGGTATAGAAGAGAATGAGGAGGGAAAGGAGAGGACAGGGAGAATGGGGAAGGGGGAGGGGGAGAGCGTAGAGGAGGTATGGGGAAAGAGAGGGAGAGAGGAGAAGGAAAGGTGGGTGAAAGTAGGCGAGAGGAGAGGAAAAGCAGTAGAAGAGAGAGAGGGAAGAGGAATGGAAGAAGAGAAAAAGAGGAAGGAGAAAGAGGGATGAATAATGGAAGAAGAGGAAAAAAAGAAGAAGTAAGTGTGAGAGAAGAAAGAATGAGAAGAGGAATGGAAGAAGAGGAAAAGAAGAAGGAGAGGCAAGTGGGAAAAAAAAAAC